AAGATTTATTTTCCTATTCTTCATGTTTATAATATACCAGAAGCTATTTAATTACACAAAAATTTAACAAAGTCTTGGGTAGGTGAATTCAGGATATAAAGGTATTAATATATGACGCGAAGCCAGACTTTGTCGCAGGGTAGTTCGAGTTCCGAGGTGACATTCGCAGCTTCGTCGTCGTCGGTCTCTCGCGAGAAGCATTCTCTGGAGGTGCCGGAGCCGCGGAGCCGTCACGCAAAGCGAGACGAAACGACTGGCATTCCGCGGGCGGGCCCGCGAGCCGCGAGCGGAATTCCTCACGGTCTCCCGCCTACCTGTGCACTCACCTACTGGCGCAGTCGGTGCGGAACAATCGATAGCCACAATCGCGCGCGAGATACCAGCTCTCTGACACGAGCTTTCTGCCGATACCTTGGCCGCAGTGGCTTGTCTCGGTCGCGAGCCAGCTGCACTCGAAGATGTTGAGAACGCGGTAGCGCAGCCAGAGATTCGGTTTGCGGCTCACGTAAGCCCGGAACTCGATCACGTCGCAAGTCGGCCCGCATCCGTAGCGCCTTACCAGCTCGGCGGACTTGTTGGAAGCCCAAGGACAGGAGCGGTACCTACGGTACGATTGTCCTCTCCCTCGGCGATCAGCGTCATATTCTCGCTCACCTGCTCGTGCACGAGCCTCAGCAGCCGGCTCGCGCTCGGACAGGTCCATGCTCAGCATGACCAGGTCATGCTTGAAGTACGCGTCGCTTATGAGAGCCATCACTCGCTTATTGGCGGCTGGGAGGGCCAGTCACGTGTTGCAGAGAAAAGGCCGGTCCTGTGCACCGTACGAGCGATTTAGCAACGCGCGACTCGCGAAAGAAGACCGACGTTGATCATTTATCGCCGCGCGCGCTCTCGTTAGATTTCGCATTCCGACTCGGTCGTTTCCCCTCGACGTGAGATGTGAGCCTGGAACGCGCGTCTGTGTTCATACCGCGGACTTGTCCGCGTGCCTTCGCAGCCCACTTCGCCAACAGCGTTCTCGGCTTCCCAGTACGCTGAGACACGATCCGTATTCCGTGCATCTCGTGCGAGTCAACGTCGATAGGATCGATGTCATACTTCCGTCGTCTCTCGCGCTCTTCCTTGCTGTGAAAGAAAATACGCACGCGTCCTTGTATCCGTTCAAATATGTGACGCATCCCGGAGTGGTTACTTTGACGTACATGGGTCCCCACCCGCGTGTACACTGAGAAACATTATATAACACACACACGCTTACTTTGCTTCTTGTGAATCTTTTGTCTCGATGTTAATAATGACAATCTATGTTTAATGACGAACTATGTCGCAAGTAACGCTATCGCATATAGCACGACGTAAGAGCCTCTTAGCACATCAAGTTGTACCTTTTGGAGCGCGCGATACATTTCTTATGCCACAACCTGAGCAAAAAATTTTTAGAGCCATCCTCGTGAAGCATAAGGCCCCGATAAAGCTGAAAATAAGAGGCTGAAAAGGGATGCCTCATTATTATCACATCAGGTCCCGAGATGGATCTTTAGGAATACCTTAGATTTTACGAAATAAAGTTTTGATAAGGAAAACTTGTAAAGGCTTTAGGATTTTTTATTAGGGATCCCTTAGATTTTACGAAATAACGCTTTAACATGAAAACTGTGGGCCTTAGAAAGATCTTTAAGTCCTGGTCTACAATAGGTGATTTAAGCTTTAAGCTATAAGAAATTAATCAATTACAGTTGAATGTGGGGAAAATAATCGACTGCCGTTGGTTAATTTCTTATAGCTTAAAGCTTAAATCACCTATTGTAGAGCAGGACTTAAGGATGCTTTAGATATACAAAATTAAGTTTTGTTATAGAAAATTAATAACATCTGAAGCGTGTAATAAAATTGTCATAGTTTAGTATTGTTTTAGTAGGTACGCTCTATCTAGTTCTTTTAAAGATTTTTTTAATTATACCGCAAATAAAAACAAATTTTATTAGTTTTATTAGTTGCCATATTCATTAGTTTCTTTCAAGGATTTTTCTAGTATTGCCTTCGTTTTGAAATGCAACAAACTTTAATAAAAATAGTAACATAATTTTTATGTGCAAAGAATGCTATACTTTATTGTAAAGTATGCTATATTTTTAAAACAAAAAATTCTTGTTTTATACTAGCAAAGTTATAAAGAAATGAAGAAATTACAGTCTAAATTTCATGAGAAGAAAAGAACGAATATTTTTATTTAAGCAATAATAACAATATTTCCTTATAAGGAAATTAATATTGCCTTATTAAATATTGTCTCATAAGACCCTGTTGATATTGTCTTATAAGATTTTCATAATGTTGCTTTATAAGGACCCGTTAAACCATTTGTTATATATCTTGTAAGTGTCTTGTCTTTTTATCCCTATTAAGACCCGATTAATGTAGTAGAGGAAAATAATCAGGTCCTTACCAGAGCTCTATTAATTTTTCTACCCGAGAACTTCATTCGGTTGACACCGAAAGTGCCGAGCGATCAGGAACGGTTTGCAATCTCTCGTGAGCGTGTTGCATTTTTAACGGGCGTCGAATAAAGGAAATGAACAGAGTTAAAGCGGTTAAAGAATTAACCTTAATTCGAAGCGTTAAGGTTATTATGCCAGTCGATCGACGCCACTTTCTCATCTCTCTACAATCGACCGGGCTCATACTTTAGACGCGATGTCTTCCGCGACGCGTTTCCTCCGGTAGATTTTACCCGCTGGCTTCATCGGCTTCAGCTCGCGAGGATGAGCGCGCAGAAGTAAACCTGCCTGCGCGGCAAGAAAACGATCAAACCGCCGAAATGAACCGTTCTCGCCTCGCGCGTCGAACGTGTGACAGTGAAATAAAAAAGATGAGAGAGCGAGATACGCGAGCCGTACGTCCGCTTTGGAAGGATTGGAGGTTATCGGAAGATAAATTGCGTTTCTTCCCCGAGTAAGACATCGCGCCATCGAGGCGAGAGAACCGTCAGATCTACTTCTTTGACACGGATTATCCGGAGTCTAACGTTTGTTACGTACGTACAATGCGTTGCGTTCTCGCGAGCGAATTCGTGGAATTTTACCGGGGTGATAGGGCGGGCGAAGAGGAAGCGAAACGCGACCGGGGCGGACAATAATTTATGCAATCAAACGACTCGCGATTTCTCATCTTGCCGAGTTCTCTCCTCGCGTCGAAGTGCGCACGAACTCGCGGCGACCGAAGAAGAAGAGATCACATTTCACCGCGATTAACAGGCATTCCGGGCGGTAAAACTTAACGTCGCGTCCCGTAGTTTCTGGAAGACCAGGTTGGACGATAACTCAAACACGGCTCTATTCATTCATGGCCGTTGTACGAAGTGATATGGGTGGCAGCCTGCAGAGAGAGAGAGAGAGAGAGAGAGAGAGCGCGCGCCGTCTGATTTATGCATTCGCGCCGCGTTCCACCGCTTCCGATGTACATGCTCTTTCGTATGCGCGTGCGTACGTAGACGGGCACAGATACATGTACAGGGTGTATCTGAACTCAACCGACAGTCTCAAAGGATGAGCTCTGCATAAAACAATGAGTGAAAAAATCCCGGTAAACCCCGTGTCCTCAGACGTTTAGTTCCTCAGACGTAGCCGCCGCGCGATGTCGGTTCCAAAAACGTATTATATTTATACGCATATTATATTTAAATTACATATATATTTATACATACATTTTTTGTCCATTCAATGGCGCTTTGCGAGCAAGAAACTAGACGCATACTGTTGCTCCTTGAAAGCGTAGATATTCGTGTCTTTTTTAAATTTTACTCACAACAGAAGATAAATATATACCAACGTCCCAATGAATGACTTTTCGGTTGATATTCAAGAGTCGTTAGAGAATCGCTAGAATCATCTCGAAGAAGAAATAAAATCTGTTTTAGCAGCATTCGCAAGCTGCGTTTCTTCTATCGTTGTTACCTTTTGAAGGCGACATCCCGAAGACCAAATTTTCGCGGGCACTCACTTACTCACTTACTTTTCTCCTCACTTCTCAACGTAGAGTCTGTCTCATAGGTTTATCGGTAAAGTTCGGACATACCTTGTGGAATATAAACGTGTGTGCGTTCGCACACGTGCACGTATACAAGAGACGACGACGTGTGTGTGACACGCACACCACATGCACGTAGAAGGTGGTCGCGGGGCGCCACTGTGCGTACGCGAGGGTGGTAGGCGCAGTGGCTTGTTGATGAATGCGGGGAAGCCGAGTTCGCCGAGCCACGAAAGGAATATACGCAGACTTTATATACGAGGCAGTGGTAGAGGGCGATAGGTGTATCTGAACTCAACCGCGAGGCCGCAGCGACCCGAGCAAAAAATTGTTAGGGTTATCGTCATGAAGCATAAGGCCCTGATAAGGCTGAAAGTAGAATGTCCTAAAAAGAGATACTTCATTATTACCTCATCAGGCCCCGAGATGGATCCTTTAGGGATACCTTAGATTTTACGGAATAAGACTTTGATAAGGAAAATTGATAAGGGCCTTAGAAAGATTTATTAAGGATGCTTTGGATATAAAATCATTAAGCTTTGTTATAGAAAATTAATAAGATCTGAAGCGTGTAATAAAATTGTCATAGTTTAGTATTGTTTTAGTAGGTACGTTCTACTCTGATCCTTTTAAAGATTTTTTAATTATACCGCAATTAAAAATAAATGTTACTAGTTTTATTAGTTTTATTAGTTGCCATATTTATTAGTCCCTCCCAAGGATTTTTCTAGTAAGTATTGCCTTCGTTTTGAGATGCAGCAGACTTTAATAAAAACAGTAGCAGGATTTTTATATGTAAAGAATGTTATATTTTATTCCAAAGTATGCTATATTTTTAAAATAAAAAAATTCTTGTTTTATACTAACAAGAACTATAAAGAAATAAAGAAATCACAATCTAAATTTCTTGAAATAGAAAGAACGAATATTTTTACTCAAGCAATAATAAAAATATTTTCTTATAAGGCCCTGTTAATATTGCCTTATAAGACCCTACTGATATTGCCTTATAAGGCTCTTATAATTACCTTAAAAGGACCGGTTAAAACATTTGTTACACATCTTGTAGGGCCCTTGTCTTTTTATCCTTACTAGGGCCCAATTAATTAAAAGGGAAAAATAATCAGGCCCTTACCTTACCAGAGTCCTATTAATTTTTCTACTCGGGGTAAACGTCGTATACATCAATTACGCGCCTTCATTTTCATTTCGACCGCGGCGGGCCGCCAAAAGATCGCATTTTCTCGGCGCAACAATGCGGGCCTTATTAACAGGTCATTATGCGGCCGCTGCCGGTGCCGGACGTTTCGGAGCGCGCTCGATCGCCGAAGTTGCGCCCACAGATGTGAAATCGCACGCGAGACGGCGGATCTCGTCGGTCGCAAGGTTCGCGAATACCTCGGCGTCCAGCTGGAGGACCGCGAGGTATGTCGGCTCGCCGTCGGGGAGGAGGACGAGGAGACAGCTATGGAATATCGAGGGAACAAGACGTTGTGCACGTTGCTTAATTCGCAATTTACTTCATACCTCGGTGAAAGATCGGCGAGGGGATATGCAAACGACGACATAATCCGAGTTGGTGCTCGGCCAAACGTACGCGCGTGATGTTCACGTAAACGAAGCGCGACGTCGCGGTGCGAACGAATGGCGCGCGCACGAAGAGACGTACCGTGATCGATCTATCAACACTCGTCCGCTCGTGTCTTCGATATCTCCCTCGGCTATCAAGCGCAACCGTGCAACCGTGAGTCTCACGCGAGCGTCGCGCGTGCGGACGCTCGTCCGGCCGTCGTCGTTGAAAGCGAAGCTCCGACGCTGCGCCTCCGCCTTACGAATCCGTCCAAGTTCCCGCGGGATCCACCATGCCGTGACCTTGGGCTTCTCAGCTGGCCTTCGGCACCTCCAACTTGCGCCGCTTATTGGTCTTCGTCTTGACCCGGCTGGACTCGTGGCGGCTGCCGTTGCCGTATGATCCCTCGACGGCGCCGTGCTTCTCGCCGTATCGACCGTGCTTCTCGAAGAGCCCACCCTGACGCGCGTTGTCGTAGAAATCCGCGTCTTTCTTCGCCTCGTCCCGCTGATAAACACTGCGGTAGCCACCGCTGTTGCGGGCCCTGCCGCCACTGCCCCCGCTCTCGTGGCTCACGTCCTTCTTCTCCGCGGCCCTACCAGCGTGCTTCGCGGCGCGTCTCTCGTCCTCGGAGCGGCTCCTGCCTTCGGCCGACGACTCGACGTAGCTGCTGCTCGCACTGTGCTTCTTGCTGACGCCCGCGGCGGCGAGCTCGGAGCCGGCAAGCTTACCGCCGCCTCTCGTCAGCTGCGTCTCGCGCTCGGACGCCGCGTAATACGCGTCAGGGTTCCGATCGAATCCGTAGGGCGAATCAGTGGGATTCCCATCGGGCGTCGACGAGGCCGCGCTCCTACGGCGGTCCGATCGGCCGGTTTGCGGTTTCATGAACACGAGTTCCATGTGGCTGACTCCGGGTGGCTTGACGCCCTTATAGCCGGGCGGCAGCATCTCCGCCTCGGGTTCTATGATCAAAGGCAGCAGGACCACGTCGCTCTTTGCCTTGGCGGTAATAGCCCTCATTGTTGACGGTACCATCTCCACGTCCTCCTCGACGTCTCCCTGCAGATTCTCCAGGCTGTCGTCGGCGATCTCGGGCGATTTCGTCGCGGCTTTCCGACGGAACGGCAGGTAGCCGGCGGCCATCGCTTCCGAGTCAGACGATTCCCAGCGGACGACGTTCGTCTCGGTATCTCGCTCTCTCAACGGACGCGCGCAAACGCTCAGCAGAGCGAAGGTCACGCACAGCCCCGCGCCGGCGGCCCATCCTTCGCGAATCTTCATTTCCTCGTGACCAGCTCCCGCTCTGATGACGCTCCACAGATCAGTCCGCGGACTCGCTTCTCGTAGCTGCGGCTGCCGCGCTGCTTGGCGGAGCTTTCCCAGGTGACACCCCGGGTCGTGCAATCGCGCTGACCCGCACTGTAATGACCGCGGGGTAAAGCGGCTCTTTTATACCGCTCGCGGCAGCCGCTCGACCGAGCCGCGGAGCCTCGGGAGCGCCGAGTGCATCTGGAAGGACGACTTGCGAGAGCTCTCGGCAAGAGCCGCGAAGGCGCGATTTCACACGACCTCGGACGTCTCTAGCGTAGCGTGCGACTCAAGGTCGCGCGAAATCGCCGTCGCGTCGCGCTGCGGACTCTCGAGCCTGTTTTTCGTCTGGAAGTCGCCGACGGGGACGACGTTCTAAATGCCCGTTTCGCAAGCTTCCCTCGGAAACGTTCTCGCAACACGATCCTGCCGCTCCCCCCTCCTCCCTCCCCCCGCCCCCTTGGGTCAGTCTGCGCGAGAAGGCCCGTCGCCACTGATTACGCGGAGGCTGACGAGGCCTCGGCTGATGTGCGGCGACTTGGACTGCGCACTCGGAGCACTCGCAACGGCCGACCCTGAGCGAACGACCGTCTCTCCTCGACGGCGCTAAGCGACGAACTATTTATGCTAAGCGACGGAAGGGCGAACGTCCTTCCAGGGTGCGTATATAAAGTGACCAAGCAGAACGGATACGACAGTGGCGGGCGATTGAGTCGCGATACATATAGGGATACTTATAATTCGCTCGCTTGCGAGGAACGAAGCTGCGCGATACCGTCGCCATGTTGGCGAATTCGCTGCTGCTGACGGCGGCGGCGGCGGCGGCGGCGACGGCGTGGCTGCTCGACAATAACGTATCGGCTGCGGCGGTTGGCGCGCGTATGACGCTCCTCTCTAAGATGAGAATGGCCGATCTCGAGTCGTCCGCCGGCGGATACGCGTACAATCAGCAGCCGGGCCTTCCGCTCTCGTACGTGCGGTACACCAATCACGGAAGCGGACGTTACTACCGTGCACCGGCACCGCCGGCGCCGGTGTATTACGCCGTCGTCGGCAGTCCTGCACCTGTTGCGCCCGCCGTTTCTGAAACTGCGTTGTCGCACGAACCCGTCCTGCTCGCGCACGCGACTACGACTACGAAGCACGAAATTGCACCGTACGCAGCGCGCCAGCCTTACCCGCGCGATGGATTCATTAATTATGGCGTGGGCCAATTAGCGAAATACGCGCAACCGCTTAAGCCGCCTAAGCCAGCTGCACGTGCGCCGTATTACACGCCGACTGCGTTGCCGTTTTCCCCGGCGGAAGCGGCCGGACGTGCTGGCGGAAGAAGCGAGGTGGCTGAGGACGACAGCCGGGCTGGTCGTGATGACGATGACGATGATGATGACGATGACGATGGCGATGATGATGATGACGATGACGATGACGATGATGATGATGATGACGATGATGATGACGACGACGACGACGACGACGACGACGACGTTGAGAGCAAAGATCGTGCGAGTGCAAATGGCGAGAGAGCGAACGGTTCTGCTGACCAGGTCTACCAACCTCGCGCGGATAGCGACGTTTCCTTCGAGCGCGGCGACGGCGTGAAATATTCAGCTGCTGGAAACTCCGCTCGCGGCGAGGGGGCTAACGAAAGCTACCACAAACGGAAGAAATTTGACGCAGGCGAACGCGGCCGGCACGATGCAGGCGGGCAGCTAGGTAGAATTTTTGCTTACCCTCCCAATGCACATTTATTGACTTCCCAATGCACGCTTAGGTATTTGTGTTTCCCGGCATATTCTCGATACACGGGCGGGAGATATTACTTCTTGCTGAATCTTTCAGAGCTTCACGGCGCCGAAACTGAAAACAAAAAAGGGCACAGCGATGTGGCCGGGAATTATGGACGGCGTGAGGGGGCCACTTGGGGTGAGAAGGGTAGCAGCTATGGGCATACGTCGTACCGCAAAAAGGGCCAAAAGACCAGCGGCTTTCGTAAAGCCTACCACAAGGATGAATACAAAAAAGATACCGATTTCTATGACGAGAGCCACAAGGAAGGTCGTTTTGACAAGCACAGCGCCGCTGACGGACGTTACAACGCTGCCATGGGCAGTTTCAAAGAGAGCGGACGCCGCGAGTCCGAGTCCGATCGCGAGAGCAACGGAAAGAAAGGTTACCATGACGAAGGGCGTAAAGAGAATCACGAGCGAGGTTACGACAGAGAAGAGGGTGAAGATTCTTTCCGCGCTAACCATGACAGCTACGAGTCCGACGAAGACGCGCATTTAACGAAGAAACACGAGTACGACAAGTCGGGCGAGCATCGCCAATTAGCAGCGTCGTGAAGCGCGCATTGCCGATGCAATTAATCCCCGCGTGCTTCCGTGTCCTTCTAACGTTAATTATATAATTATAATTCATCGCGTGCGCGCGCGAGGAAATGTGTGCGAAAATTGTAACGTCGGGTATTATCATGGGGACGGATTTCCAATTCGTATCGCGCTGCACAATTGTCAGATACAATGACTGACGTCAATAACATGTTTATAACAGAATTGCATTACAATTAGAATAACCAGCGAAAATATAGCCAAGGTATAAATGTCGAACGCCAATATTTAACTAATTAACAACATACACTGCGTACGTACGTGTGTGTGTGTGTGTATGCGGTCGGTCGTCTTCCCCTCCTCCTTTCTCCCTTTCGAGAGAACTAATTTATATCGTGTTTCCCTCGTGATCATTATGTTTTCTACGTAATTAAATTATATAAACAATTTGGACTGAATCATTCGTTGTCACCCAGGTCGTCGCAATTAAGCGCTCGGAATCATTAAGAAACGGGCGGTGGAACAAAAACGCTTGCAAAACCGCGTCAATTGCACCACTGAGCGAGGTAAACGGCCGATGCAACGGTTTTATGGAAATGGTATGTAACGAGCGGCCATATTTTCTTGTGACAGCTGTTACGCCGCGGAAGCGTGACTGATGTAGCACAAAACATGAAACTCCACTAAATTATTACGACAGTTACCGATTTTGCGACACACGTTACGGCCGCGGAGTGGAAATAATTCAAATACCATTTCACGTCCGATATATACATTTATGGCGTTATAAAAATCTGATTAATGCGGGGGCTATCCCCGCGCCTCCTCACGCCGCCGGAACAAGGACGACAAGGAAAAAAAAATCCCCCGGCTCAACAGACGCGCGTACACATGGCGGCCGACTGACTACGCCGCAACGTTGCAATTACTAATGAAGAATACGTGTACAAATGAGATTTGGCATGTTCTCTCGGGGAGGGAATTTATTCTGCTGGTCAACGCGTACAACTCGTCAACGTAACGCGGTACAAACGCAATTCAACAAGTGCTAGCGGTAAAATGGTGGGACTCTTGTCATGGTATCCGCATCAGTGGCCCTTTTTGAATCCCCAATGCTTGTGGTCCTCGTGGCCGCCCTTCTTGCCATGATGATGGTGATGATGATGATGCTCTTCGTGGTCATGATGACCCTTGTGGCCCTTGTGGTCGTGATGATGATGGCCCTTCTCGTGATGGCCCTTCTTGCCGTGATGGCCCTCGTGATGATGATGATCGTGATGACCCTTCTTGAAGTGGCCGCCCTTCTTGTGACCGTGCTCGTGATGATGGCCGCCGTGCTCCTCGTGATGGCCGTGGTCGTGGTGCTCGTCGAAGAACTCTTTGTCCTTCTTGTATTCGTCGAGCTTGTGCACCTCGTGGTGGCCCTTGGTGCTGTGGCCCTTACCGAAGTGGCCCTTCTCGTGGAACTTGTGACCCTTCTCGCCCTTTTCGCCCTTGTGATGCTCGCTGTAATAGCCGTCGTCGTGATGATGATGCTTCTTGTGGCCGCTGTCTTCGTGGTAGTGGCCGTGATGGCCCTCCTTGTCGTGGTGCCCCTTCTCGCCCTTGTCGTGGTGATGATGGGACTTGTAACCCTTATCGCCCTTGCCACCGTGGTGGTGGTGATGGTCGGAATGATGCTCCTCGCCGTGGCCGCTCTCGTGATGATGATGGGAGGCGGCTACCTGCAAGTCGTCGTAATGATCCCTCGTGATTCGGCGCGCGTTGCTCACGCAATGAGAGGCGATGCACACTGCCAGCAGGCAGATCGCCGCCAGTTTGCTCATCGTGCACCGTGTTTATCCTCAGTCGGTTCAATATCAACGAGAGAGAGAGAGAGAGAGAGAGAGAGAGGTGTTTGACTTCGCCGCTGTGATCGGTATGATCAAGGCTGGCCGCCCCGCTCGGATTATATATCGATCGCAGGGATAATCGATATGAGAGAAGCCCGGGCTCTCCTTTCTTGGCTCATTAGGCCGTTGCGAAAGCAGTGTCTCCTTAACCTGTTTAAATTGTAGTAATGCGGATTTCAGCGTGGCCCCGTGACTGTCGCTATTGTCGGGCCGCCGTTATGTAATCTAATTGAAATCGCTGCCCCTGCTTGCCAAACTGCGTCCACGGGGCCTAAATAACGCGTTTTTGCCGTCGCCGGGCGGTAACGCGCTCGTTCACGACAGCTTCCATTTATTCCTCTCTATCGCGCTGCGGAAATTTATACGATTAATATACACGTCGCTGAAACAAACGTGTGCAATCCCGTATACGGCCGGACCATCAGCATCGATCCCGTCGCGGAGAGTATTATACGATGGGGGGCGGGGGAGGGGGCGATGAAAATAAAAAAAAAAAGAATAAAAGAGAATGAAGCAGTATCTCGATTGACGTAGAAAATAAATTGGGCGGTAATGAATGAAAGGCGGTAAATCGTTCCGGTTTACTGTGCATCTCGTTCCGTTGGTCGCCGACCGCTAAATTGGCGGATCGCGTTAATTTACTTCCTGCTAAATCCTGGATCGACTTGGCTATTACAGCCGCGAGAGTAACTGGCGTTTTCGTTGAGTTCAGCCTGCTGCTGCATCTTTTATTTTAGCGATCTCGTCGACGTCATTCGAGACGGATCGGTGACGTCGACGTGCCATTCGTCGATGTCTTACTTACCACGTGTAGAAGGGGGCGGGGGAAAAGTGTTGGATCGCAGATGCAACGCACGCATTTGCGTCTTCTGCGTATTGCATCCCGCTGCTGTCCCCACTTTGATCTCGAATGAAAGAAAACGTCGTTTTGCCCCGTTAAGTAATCCAAGATTGACAATTCGTTTCGTTTCGTTTCGTATCGAACGGTTCTTTACAACCGATGGCGCATTCAGGCGACGGTACGCATCGCGCGAGGTAACGTTTTACGAAATGCAAGCCCTGTTGTGAGCGAACGCGAGTGCGAAGGAACGAAAGCGGTTACGTGCCGAGCATTGGCGGAACCGCAGGTATATAAGCTTTGCCTTAAAGATTGTCGGCCAGTCGATTGTTGCACTCGTTAGTCCTACAGACCGCCAACATGGCTAAACACGTAGGACCATGGTTGCTCATGGGAATGGCCGTGGTGTGCTCGGTCGTCGCAATGTCTTCGGCCCGGGAGGTCGGAAATTTGACAGGAGACCTGGAGGTGGCTGCTTCTCATCATCACCATCATGGTCATCATCACGAGCACGGTGGAGGCCACGAGCATCATTCCCACCACCATGGTGAACACGGTGAGAAGGGTGAAAAGGGTCACAAAGGACACCATCACCATCACCATGGCGAACACGGCCACCACGGCAAGGAGCATCACGAGGGTCACCATCACGAGCACGGTGGACATAAGAAGGGTCATCACGATGAGCACGATGAGCATGGCCATCACCATGAGCACGAGCACGGCCACAAGGAGCACAAGTTCGGCCATGGAAAGGGCCATAAGAAGGGCGAGAAGACCCACGGTTACCATCATAAAGCCCACAAGGATGAGTACCACAAGGAGCACAAGTTCTACGATGATCATCACAAAGGTGGCCACCATGAGAAACACGGCGATCATCACGAGCATCACCATGGTAAGGAAGGCCACCACAAGAAGGGTGGACACCATCATTCCGGCCACCATGAGGACCACCATGGTAAGAAGGGCCATCACGACAAAGGACATTACGACGAGGACCACCACGGCCATCACGGCAAACATGGTCACGAGGAGCATCATCACCATCACGAGGATTACGGCAAGAAGCATGAGCACCATGGCGGCAAGAAGCACGGATATCATCACGGCCATCACGGTCATCATCATCATCATTGATCGGTCGAAACCCGCCAATTTAGTGCGACGCAAAGATTAAACTGTTGCCTTGTCTGTTCCTTCCAGTCTCTCGTTGATTATTTTTAGGGTGCCGAATAATGATCGATTTATTTCGTCAAAGATGCTTGTTATTGAGAAATTAAAATGCCTAAGCTCCGAAAATATTCTTCGATCTGTTACTTGCCTCACGTCTCCCACTACTTCCTAGACGCATCCTGGTTATACTGTCTGCGTACATACATAGCCTGACAATAGTCGCGCATGAACGCGAACGTACAAGATTAGAATCTCTTCTGTTGAGTTATGCAGCGCTAAAATAAAAACGAGTCTTTTCCATTACTATACAATTTTGCTACCGCAGTTTTTTGTATGCCAAAAATTTTGGCATAATATATATATATATATATATATATATATAAAGTGAAAGAGATTCACGTTAAATGATATTTTTACATCATCTTTATTGAGATCTAGATACGATATATTATTTAACGCGCGTATTATTAGAAAGAAGATTATGCTGCACTTATCCTTCTCTCTAAGAAAGACGACGAATGCGACATAAAAATGCAATCATATTCCATATAATTTTCAAACAGTTAATAAACCGAAAGATATGTTCCATCAATTGACATATTCCATCTTTCCGTCTTCAGTCTGCTATATATAACTACACGTCTGTACAAAATTCAAGTGCGATAAATATCTTCATGGAATTAATTGAGAATCAAATACTATGCCAACTTTCCAGTCGTTATATATGCATGTACCGACACCCATAAAATTTAAAAAATTTTCTATGTAACATTCGTCTCTCTCTCTCTTTCTCTCTCTTTCTCTCTCTCTCTCTCTCTCTCTCTCTCTCTCTCTCTCTCTCTCTCTCTCAGAACCGCACATCCGGTTGTAGATGGTGTAAATTAACAATGTGCGAATGCACAAAGTGGAATGATGTAAAAAAGATCGGAGATTCTCCAATAACTCTTTTAATGGCAATATTGATCTTATAACCCGCCTTTCCATTCGATATAAATATGTACACGATAAAAGACAATATTGACACAGCGCAACTTCTTATTCCAGGTTCACTGAACTATTGAGAATCGATAAAGGAAGCTCGCGATCAGTATCACGTAATTTCGTTTATATAACTTTAAACAAGTAACGGATTACAAAATATAGGAGCAGACTCTGCGAGGCTTACCACAACGGGGGAAATGAAAGGGAACTCCCCCGCCGTCTTTTATTTATATAAATATATATTTTTCTCGAGTACTCCGCAGAGCGCATTTGATGGCTCGCCGCGTCAGAATCACGATATTACCAATATCGTACCGCTCGTGAGCCTGGAAAACACTTAGATCGGTGATAGAATCATAAACGGATCTTAGGACATTGTTTCTGCAACTATCATGTTCACCCTACGTCGCGCGTTGGTGGCCATCTTCGTGGCGACGTATATCGCCACTTACTGCACGACCAGCGCGCACACCATCGCCAGAAAGGATGATGACGATTTGGAAGTAGCCGCCAGCAAACACGAGAGCGGCCATGGAGAAGAGCATCATTCCGATCATCATCACCACCACGGTGGAAAGGGCCATAAGGGTTACAAGCATCACGATCACCACGAGAAGGGAGAGAAGGGACACCATCACAAGGAGCATCATCATGGCCACCACGACGAGCATGGAGGACACAAAAAACATCATCATCACGACGACGGCTACCATCACGAGCACCACAAGGGTGAGAAGGGCGAGAAGGGCCACAAGTTCCATGAGAAGGGACACTACGGCAAGGGCCACAGCACTCATGGTCATCATGAGGTGAAGAAACACGACGAGTACAAGAAGGACAAAGAGTTCTTCGACGAGCATCACGACCACGGCCATCACGAGGAGCACGGCGGCCATCATCACGAGCACGGTCACAAGAAGGGCGGCCACTTCAAGAAGGGTCATCACGACCATCATCATCATGAGGGCCACCACGGCAAGAAGGGCCATCACGAGAAGGGGCATCATCATCACGACCACAAGGGCCACAAGGGTCATCACGACCACGAAGAGCATCATCATCATCACCATCATCACGGCAAGAAGGGCGGTCACGAGCATCACAAAAAGTGGGATCACAAAAAGGGACACTGAGCTTTCCCCATTTTATCCGGGGAGATACCACCAGCTGGTTTTTCTGTTTCTTTTTGATGGAGTCCTCGCTTTCGTTCCTTCCAGGACGGAGAATATAATCCAGGGATATATATATTTGCGGCTTAGGTACATGCTCGCTCACGAGAGAATCGCTTGCATCGTTTTATCTGTTGATTATTAATCGTGCATACGTTGTAACATTGTTGAAATATAAAGTGTTATACGTTTAACACGCTTTTTGCCCTGTTATAATGTGTTGCGCAAACGGCGCGACGTGTATGCAGCAGCAGCATAAATTATCCCCCCGCGCCTGTGAGAACACGATGACAGAAGTGTCGCGCGAAACGGGACGAGCTGCTTTTTAGGGGCTTTATTTCCTGACCGGAGTAAGAAGATTTTTGCGCTGTCGAGAAAATTATGGATGCGACAGCAACATTTGACACCACGGGGATTGTAATACACGCGACATTTAATTCGCCGTGATATGTAGCAGACAGCCCCGCGCATAAATCAGTAATTAACTGATTATATCAGGAGCCCCTGCCCCCCACCCCCTTTTCCCCGCGCCCTCCCACGTTTCCTTCATAGCTTCAATAGATGTACAGCCATTGAGCGCTGCAAACTGTGGGCATCATAAATTACCAGCACGCCGGGAGAGAGGGGGAGGGAAGAGAGAAAGAGGAAAAGACAGGGAGAGAGAGAGAGAGAGAGAGAGAGAGAGAGAGAAAATCTTAATAAAAATTCCTATATTCCAGCTATTTATCAAATTTCGATATTAATAAGCGGCATTAAATACAATACACCGTCGGTTAATGCATTATCGGATGACGGCGCAAATATAAAGCGCGCACTCTCGCGGCATTATTAATATTTAGTTTAATGAACTCTTTCGGGAGCGCACAGAGGCGCGGCGGTTCTCACTCCCGCTTGAATCCATTGTCTCCTAAACGGAGACTTATTAAAGAGGAACATCGCGACAGTAATTATCGCGAGCGGCATATCTCGCAGAGATATTCGCAGAGCGAATTTCAGTGAAAATCCGACAGTCGATCGGCGCGCTCGCAGCTGAAGCGCCGCACGCGTTTGACCGTGCCGACTTTCCGCCGCTTCTCACACGTGCATCGCGGAGAAGAAGAAAAAGCCGACGAGGAAAAGGAAACACAATAAAACGGGGGCGGGTGGGAAAGGGAGAGAGAGGGAGAGAGAGAGAGAGAGAGAGAGAGAGAGAGAGAGAGAGAGAGAGTCGGGGCGAAAAGCCATGCCGACTTACTGCCGCCCCTCGCGCGTGCATCGGTTCTCGAGTGCGGAGAAGAAGAAAAAGCCGGCGAGGAATAGGGAGGTAGAAGGAAACGGGGGCGGTGGGAAGGTGAGAGAGAGAGAGAGAGAGAGAGAGAGAGAGAGAGAGAGAGAGAGAGAGCGAGGGGGAGGGGGGAGAAGGACCAGGGCGAAAAGCCCGCGGCGCAGAGGCGCGCTATCGTACTCGCCGCCGCGTCGCGAATTTGATTAACGATCATCCCGGGCCGTTGCAAATGAGATCGCCGCGTGTCCGGGCCCGCGTGTCCGTCCGAATTGAATTCCGGCAGCCCGGACACGGATTAACGGGCTGCTTTATGCATTTCTTTCCCCGCGCCACGTACGGCGCGGCGGCGCGGCCCATTCTCCGCCGGAGATTGCATGCGCGCGCGGCGGCGTGTACTACTTGAAACGCTCCTCGTCGTGTGATAATTCCGCCGGCCGTCAAAAGGGCCCGCCATTGTTTCGGCTCTCGCGCGGTGCGTGCGCGCGTGTGTGGGTGGTTTAATTAATGTAATTGAAGTGGTTGCCGCGAAAAAAGGAAAAATGCCAGCTGCATTTCTCCAGCACGCGAAGGAGCACGCGCGGGAGAGAGCGCTTCTCTGTGATTTCGCGCGCTTTCACGGCGCCGGAATAATCGCGCCATTCGGCTAAATTAATGAGGACTCACGGTGCACGTGACATTTGCACTTTCGGCTCACACCCCGGAGTTTCGTCGCCTTCGCCTCCGTAACGGCCGCGAAAAAACGATACAATTTTTTCCCCATCCCGCTCCGCCCCGTCGCGCTTCCCGCACCGCGGCGAGGAAATGCGCGTTGTTACGTCGCATCCTCGAAAAGCGGTCCTGTCGAGAGACTAGAGGCGTAATAAATAAAAGTTACCCCGCGCGAGTGTGTCTGTGTGTGTGTGTGTGTGTGTGTGTGTGTGTGTGTGTGTGTGTGTGTGTGTGTGTGTGTGTGCGCGCGCGCGCGCGCGCTGAACTATAGTCGGCCGGAAAACAAAAGTTGTTGAGCACAATGTTGCCGAAATAACCAGCTAAATAAGCTCTCAGCTACCCCGGAGCCCGGAGCTGCCTTTGATAAAATTTTCACAGAGTCGAAGCGAGCCCGCGAATAATAAATGACCCGAACGCCACAGTCGTATAATGAAAATTGCATCGCGAGGCCGCGCAAGAAATCCTTTGACGACGTAAGCCGCTAGATTAAATATTTGGATTAAGCCCGTCTTGCCGGCGCACTTGTTGTAGCGCGCTAAAAAGCGAGATAATCAAATATGTTCATAATCAAGGCCTCGCGCCGTCGGCGACACGTGCGCCGCCGCGAGTCTTTTAATCCATTTATGCGAGCGGAGGGGCAAAGAAGGACTCGCCAACTCGCTCTCGCCGCAGCTTCCGCGCGGCCTATCCGTCCGACTTGTTTGCCGCCGACGGCTGAGTTTATTCGCCGGCGGAAGATCGATCGCGTGCAATTCGTGCACGCGCGGGCGTTTCGTAATAAATTGCGAATTCGCAGCCGACGAAGATAGATTTACACGGCATTTTCTCAAGTCTTCATTGATTAATCGACGAATTATGAGCGGCGGTTATGCACGCGCGTTAGCGTCACGGCGATTTACATTACGCGGGCATGTGTTTTCGACGGCTCGCAGCGCCGGCTGGTCGAATCGTCATGACGACGCGGCGCGACGGCGGTCGCGAGGTTTATGCGAGGACGCGTCGACGAGGCGAGATAAAGCGGATAAGGCTGTGGGAAAAATTCGCTTTAAAAAAAGAATGCACGTCGCTCTTCGCGGAAGCGATAGACTGCGAAACGCACAGCTGGTACGAGGAGAACAACGCGATTTGGACCGCGTTATTCTCAAATGTTGCTATAAATTGCAGACGGCGCGCGAGCGCGCGCGCGCGCCCCGGCCGCTCTGTTTCCGAATGCACGAGGTATCGTCGATGTGACATTATAAAAGTATATTTGCATTTCGATGTTTTACAATGGGTAACGTGGTATCGCGTTGCGCAGCATCGCCGGAGATAACGCCACCGCCTCTCTCTCTCTCTCTCTCTCTCTCTCTCTCTCTCTCTCTCTCGCTCTCTCTCTCTCTCTCTCTCTCTCTCTCTCTCTCTCTCTCTCTCTCTCTCTCTCTCTCTCTCTCTCTCTCTGTACGTGTGGAATATATTTATATGTATATGTGTGTACGCCGCGTATTTACATACAAATTTAACGGTGTCAACTCGCAACGCGCGTTCCCGTGGAGCGACACATTAATATCCGGGAATCAATTCAATCAGCTGGCCAATCGATTAACCTCAATTATTGGCGCATTAATGACCCGCGCGCTATATGTGACATTAAAATTCATATCGCGACGGAATCGCCAGTACATTACTCTTGTAAGCCCGACAATGGAGAGGCGCGCTCTCTCGCTGCTGAAAAGCACATTTTTATCGTATTCACTAAATTAATTCACCCTCTTCCCCTCACCTTCCCCTCACCTTTCCCTCGCTCCACCCCGGCCCCGGCCCCTCTCCCCCGTTGCGATGGGCGAGCGATGTCGCTTCGCACGTTTGACCGGGCAGAGACGAGAAAAATCGCGAAACCACGAGCGCGCATCGTGGCGTGGCGCGGCGTGCACGTTACGAAACGGCCAATCGAACTTCGTCGACGCGATCTTTCAACTAAATTGATATCGATGACATTAATAATTATGCGCGATCCCCGTCATCCGTCGGCGCGCGCGCCACGCTGGTGCGTGAAATCCGCGCGCGGGGACGATCGCGCGTCGGGAAACAATCGCGCGCGTCCGTTCCCGCGCGCAAATCGTTATCTCTCGTCAATAGTCCGGAGAGTGAGGGGGGAAGGAGAGGGACGCGCGACGGGAGGAAATGGCGAAATTACTTTAGTTTGCCGATGGGAAGTGGTAAGAGGCCGTCGAGAAAAACGACGGCAATAAATCCGCGGGGAATCGATAAGGCGTAATATCACATCGCCGTCTTGACTGTAATGTAGCTGCTGGGACAAATATGAGCTAGGGAGAGAAACTTATTCGACCCATTAAGAGCGTAAAAAGAGACAGGGGAAAAGAGAGAGAGAGAGAGAGGGGGGGAGAGAGAGAGAGAGAGAGAGAGAGAAAGTCAGGGAGGAAGCAACGAACAAGACGCTCGAGTTCGCGCGAGTCGATGGTCGGATCGATATCGATGGTGACTTTTTCGGACCGCTCGATCTGAGAAACGCTGCATTCTTTATTGATTACCGACGTCGCTTGACATTTTGCCGATTTCTGCATGCCGATTGAACATCCGGGTGTCTGCCGATCAGCGATCTAGGTATCGCATCCAAGTCGAGTCGATATCGTATCGATGTGGCATAAGCTGACCATCTAGATCGCCGATACCCCGACGTGATGTTCCAAGCACCGCGACGAGTCGGTCAAATCGAGAAGTAGAGAAGAACAGATCGTTGATCTCGATCGGGACTTGGACCCATCGACTTGTGCACCCGGGTGCTCTTTTTGCGTTGTAAAAAATACGGTACAAAGTGCACAAGCCACACACACGGCGTCGTCGCGCGCGCGATCCCGTCGGAAACAGGTACGTGGAAGGAAAAGAACTACCGGTAGTCGTAGATTGAGCGTTCGTCCTCCGTACAAGCCTAGTGTCCCTTCTTGTAGCCGTACTTCTTCCCGGAATGATGGTCGCCCTTCTTGCCGTAGGCGTCGTGATGGTCGTGATGCTGCTCGTGGCCGTGCTTGCCGTGATGGCCGTGGTGGTCCTCGTCGTGGTGGCCTTTGTCGTGGTGGCCCTTCTTACCGTGGTGATCCTCGTGATAACCGGAATGATGATGACCGCCCTTCTTATGGTGGCCCTCCTTCTTCTCGTGGTGGCCGTGGAAGTCGCCGTGCTTCTCGTGGTGGCCGCCCTTGTGGTAGTCGTCGTAGAACTTGTGCTCCTTGTGGTACTCGTCCTTGTGGAACTTGTTGTGGTAGCCCTTGGTCTTGTGGCCCTTCTTGTGGCCCTTCTTCTCGCCGAACTTGCCCCCCTTGTGGCCCTTCTCGCCCTCGTGGTGCTCGCCGTACTTCTCGTGCTCGTCGTGGTGGCCCTTCTTCTTGCCGCCGTGCTCCTCATGGTGGCCGGCGTGGTGCTCCTTGTCGTGCTTACCACTCTCGCTCTTGTCATGGTGGTGATGACTCTTGTGGCCCTTCTCGCCCTTCCCGCCGTGCTCCTCATGATGATGAGACTCGTGCTTGTGACCACCGCCGGACTCGTGGTGGTGACCCTTGTGGCCGGTCGCCGCGGTGTCCAGGTCGGCGCCGGCCGCGTCCGCCGCGGCCACCGCCGGCGACGACACCGCGTCGGCGACGACCCCCAGGTGACCCACATGACGGTCACCGTTCTGGCCTTCCACGTCGCGCCGGCTGACATGCGATCTCGCGCCGCCGGCCAAGTCCCGGGCGTGGCAGGTCGGCTGTAACGTGAGCGAACATATTGCGATGAACGGCAGAAATAGCATCGCAGCTCTCACCATCTCGATCGCGCCCGGATTCGATCGGACTGATGGCCGACGCTACTACGGTTGACACTTAAATATCGATGCTCCGGCTACTTCCGCCATGGCGCGCCGGCCGTAGCCGTTTCCGCCGCGAGAGTCCACTTTCATCCGCACGACCGCAAGTGTTCCTAAATTTCGCGCCAATCTCCTCCGTGCCGCGGCCACGGCGGCGGCGGCGGTAGCGGCGGCGGCGGCGGCGGCGGCGGCGGCAGCGGCGGCAGCGGCGGCGCGGTGGGGCGGCGGCTCCACACGGCTTCACACTTTCTCGCGTCGCTGCACATCGCGTTTTACTCCGCTCGCTGAATATTCCGTCGCGCCACGCCGCGCCGCGCCGCGCCGCGTCGCGCCGCTGCGACATCCGATCGACCGCTCAATTATCATTGCCGATGCGACGCGAGGCGAGGCGACGTAACCGATTGATTCGTCAGCATACCCCGATAATGTTCCCCGCACACGCTCCCCGATAGCGGCGCAGCGCGTCGGTGACGCTAAGTTCTTTTTCGGGGCCGCGAGAGCGACTGGAGTTTCTCGTCGGGTTTCGGCTCGCGGTGCACTGCGTGAACGCAATATCCCCGTAAAAAGAGCGAGAAAAAAGGGTACGAAGCGGTGTCCACGGCGCGGCACAGGAAGAACTTTCCATTACCACTTTTTCCGTGATCATCGGTCCGCCGCGGGAACAATAGCACGGAAATTTCTAGACCGCAACAAATCGCATTACCGTCTTCGCTTCGATTTGCTCCTTTTTCCGCCCGTAATCGATACCTGTGCTCTCGGACGCACTTTTACACGACGGATCGATAATACAGCCGTACTTGTCTCCCCCCCGCCCCTCCCTCTCTCTCTCTCTCTCTCTTTCTGTCTGTTTCTGCGCGTTTCACTGCGTCGGCTTGCAAATGGAATATAATCGACACGCGACGGCGATGTGACACGTGACAGATCGCCTGTTGTTTTTCTCAGACAGCGGCGATTAATGCGCGAAACGTGAAATACCGAACGAGACGCGTCACCGAACGGCCGCGGTCGACGGCCCGAATTTCTATTTCGAGTCAAAGTGCCGTCTCGCTCGCCGACGCGCGCGCACGTGCTCGATCAACGCTTCGCGGCGTGACCCGAATCGATATTTGAAGTCAAGTGCCCCGCCAGATGCTCGCGCGCGCGATCATTTTAATTAACGTTATGACGCGCAAATGCGACGGATCCGCATGTGCCCCGCATGCGTGCCAGAAGTGTTTTGTTTGTCACAGCGCGCGACGTTCGCGAGCGCCGCGCCGCAACGGCGCGGCGGCGGCGCGGCCGGGACCGACGCTCGCACCGGGCTCGCATCGATAAGCTGTCTAATTTCACCATTAATCCCATTAGCCGCGACATAAATTCGCCTCTCGTAAACACAGCGCCATTTATAACGTCATAAGCCGAAAACAATTTATTGAGTTTTACAGACGTCGGCGACGCGTATATCACGGCTCGGCGCTCGTTGCACGGGTCGTTTCGCTAACTGTTGACCCATTCGTCCCGGCCTTCCTGACGCTTTTATTAGATGATCTCGAAGAGCCGTTATAGATCGACCAAAATAATTGCCTCTGCGGTTTCCTCATCCTCCAGCTGATTCCCGCGCCGAGGAAAAAAAGAAAAAAGAACGGGAGAAAAGTAAATGTCATGAAATTACTCGCGCATACGTTACCGCTCGCTAAGAATACGCAGAAGACGCACACCGATAGAAAAGTCGACAAATACCGGATAGTGACAAAGTCTTCGAAAACTCGAGGACTCGGTAAATTCGCCGTCGACGAGACGGAACAGCTCCCGGACGCGGCGCGACGCGATGCGATTCGACAGGGCGGGATGGGGCGGGGAATGACGGCGACGACGACGACAACGACACGACGACGATCGTCGATTCGGATATAGGTAACGGATGCGGCGAGCGGGAAATGGCGATATATACAATGGTCGTCGGTGGCAATCTCCATTGCAAATCCGACGTGCCGGTTGAATTCGCATTCTGAAACACCACTGATCGATAGACTTGGGGCTCTTTACGATCTTATTTGGCAGCCGGCCGCTCCCTTCCTCTCTCCCCCCCTCCTCTCTCTCTCTCCTCTCTCTCTCTCTCTCTCTCTCTCTCTTTCTCAGCTGAAGATTGGCCTTTGCCGGCGCGCTGTTTGGCGCTGCATAATCAAGATAAAGATTGCTTACTGCCCAGCTTCCACGCGACCCCTTGGACAGAGGGTAGGACGCCCGACGGCTTCTCTGCCAAGTTCGATTTCGACTCGGCATCTCTCGTCGTAACGGAGATTAGATTAGGTGGCATTCGTCGTAGACCTCGGCTCGGATCGCGAGATTGCTTTGTAAGCAGATCTCCGAGGAGAGAGAGAGAGAGAGAGAGAGAGAGAGCGAGAGAGAGGGGGAGAGAGAGAGGCGGAGTCGCGAGCCATCCGTCGAATCAGCCGCCCCATCGCGCGGCTACTTCCGTCGCTGTTTCAATTAGAATCGGAAATGCCAGCCGGATCTTCACGCGCCAGCGAAGTCGTAGTCGTAGTCGCCGGAAAATCGCGCACGTCGCGGCTCGTTGACTTGCCAACGACACGGCGCGATTGCCGCGTTCCAGCCGGGGGCTGGATGATAACGCCGGTAATGAAAATCCGCGAAGCTTCCGCGACTAGATAAAGGCCGGGATGATATCGAGACTTCTAAACACTCGCTGCGGCCATATTGAATGTAGACGGAAAATGTCACGCTGGAAATTCTCGCGTGTCATTTTCAAGTGAGAAAATATTTTTCAGATCGCCGGGATGTGGTCATAAAATTTCCAGAATATTATGCCTCTCCCTCCTGATAGACCAAAGTGACTAATACGAGGTCTAGTCATGCGCATGCGCAATCATCCCGTACGAATAGCCTAATATTACAGTCAATTTGTAGCTGATAATTGACTATCGAAGTAAAAGCTAGCTTGGGAGAATTTTACGTCCTAGCGACCTCTAAGGTATTCTTCCATGCAAATATCTTTTTACTTGGGAATGGCACGCGGGAATTTTGAGCACGCGGGAGTTTCCTCGCTTCTGACGTAATCAATCAAGAACTCCGCGGCGAGGGAGCCTTAAACTCGTCGTTTCGCTCATAACTCCGTAATATTGCTGCAAACTCGCGTCGCGCTGCTTTTCCGATTCTATTGAGTTGCCCGAGAAGTTGGTATGAGTTTCAACACGTGTCTGTTTATGAGCGTTGCGCAAGCTGTCAAAGTGATTGAAAGTACACAGCATCGTTTGAAAAATGACGTTTTTGTCGTTCAGTCGTTTAGTGAACTTTTGCTTGAAATCGGTGAAGTTTGTGTGGCCGAGTTGTACAAAAGGATACAAAGGATAAAGGGATGCACTTTCAGCGTTTTTTACAGAATAAAGTGAGACAGACAGACGAGGGGAAAAATGTGCAAAGTGCATGGAGATGATGCTGTTGTTTGCCAAGCGTGATCGAAAGTGTTTCGCTGAATCTAAAGCAACCAATTTTGACCTTGACTTTCGGTTGCGGTTGATGACCGAAGACGCTCTGATCGAAGAGAACCCACGACTTCGGAGATAGCAGAGTTATTTAACCCTTTAACGCCCGACATTTTTATTTTAAATGTTTTAAGAACAAAATTTGAGTTTTTTTGAACCGTGACTATAAGTAGTGATAACCAAAAAAAGTATCAGAATTTTGTATCTACGAAAAACTACTTTCTGAATAAATGAGTACATGAAGCTTCCGCTTGTCGTTTGTTGGTTTTGTTAGTTTGGTTTTTTTATCGTTCGTTTTTTGTTTATTGGTAAATAGGACTTGGATCCTAAAAGCATATATAAATGAACAACCTATACAGAGAAAAATGAAGGGTAACCTATATGACATAACTCTGATAGTCAGCTTGACATTTTTAAGCTGAAACTTTGTGCTATATTCGTGAATGAAGTTTATCATTCAGAGCGTCTATTTCAGCAGAATATCTTATAGATCACCATTTAGATAGTCAATCGTCCCTTCATTTGCCGCCGCATAAAAGACTGTAGGTCACCAGATTTCACGAAAATAGATTGATTTCTTAATTTTCGTGTCCACTATATTGGATTCGCCATTTTGAATTTCTGTATTCTTTTAATTTCACATTTTGCATCTGAGAAAGCTTCCAAATGTATAAAATTATAACAGATACCAATCTATTCATTTATAGTGCGCACTTCTAGATGTCAGTAACAATGCTAACTATGCCTACTTGGAACTTGACAAAACATGTTTTCATTAACACTGAACTACAAACAGACTAAACCGAATCTACATACAATCTATATATCATTTTTTAGAAGAAGAATTCACCTTTACAGTGGTGCAAAGAAGACGAAAATATCTCCTTTTTTCACTAAGTTATGGATTCTTAAATGCGTTTCTGGTAACTATAGTTACCAGTAGGCATTAAAGGGTTAACATAAGCAAGTCATAAATATTTTTAAGGAAACACATAGAAAATTTATTTTAACCCAAGAAACTTTTGCCACCCCCTTGGGTGAATCGATATTAACCCTTATTATATCCCGAATTAATTTACCCAAGACCTTATTAAATCTTTGTGTAATTAAATAGCTTTCGGCATATCATAAACATGGGCAATAGGAGAATAAATTTTATAATAATTCAACGATTAAATTTCAAGGTGCTTTTAAGTGCTGACAGGATATAAAGGGTTGAGACAAAAAATGCCTCCCCGGTAAATTGCCCGCCAAACGAAGCTCGGCGTTCACGCGATCGCCCGAGACGCCGCTCCGAATTCGGCCGATTTTCTTCGCCCTGGTCTCGCTGATAATCGCCGACGAGCCGACGAAACACTGATCGACGCACTCGTCGGAGGTCCGCGCCGTGCGGAGGTGCGCAATCAGTTGATGGAACCGTCAGTCCCGAGCCTTCCAATCCGTCGCGATCGAACCGTCTCACATTCACAGAGAGGTCTTACCCTCGCACCGTCGTCTTTACTTCTTCCTTTCTTCCCGCTCTTCGCTCTCGGCGCGTTCCGCCGCGCGTTACCAGCCTCCCGCTGCATTCTCGCTCGCTGAATAAAACCGTCGGACTATACAGCGACGAACAAAAGGACCTCGCGTTCGCGCAGTCGGGGCTGCTAATGAAATTGTTTCCTAATTTAAAGCCGGGGAGAGACCACCGGGGAGACGTGGCTACCATTCTACGGTCAAGAGCCCTATTCAGGGTACAAGTTCTCTTCCGGCGATGGCCGCGCGAGCAGAGAGAGAGAGAAAGAGAGAGAGAGAGAGAGAGAGAGAGAGAGAGAGAGTGAGAGAACTGACAGCGATAGTCCGTAATTCGGGCTCGCCTCGTCGTCTCGTTTATGCAAATAAACAGTTGGCGTTTTCTGGCGATCCGCTATCGCTTTCTAATGGTATGTGCATTTTGATGCGACGGAAAAATTCGGGACGCCCCGCGCGGCAGAGTATTAAAATAGGATCGATCAGCGGGAGAAGGCAGGCGTCGAGTAATTTGATTTTGGCCGCGGCCATTGAGTCGCTTATTAATTACCTATGCACGCCAGTATTTTGAATGTAGATCGAGTCGATTATTTTCGCGCAATAATCGCTCCTCGCCGGGAAAAGGTTAATAATAATGTATTCTCTCCCCGCCACCGGGGCATTTTATTTTTAATTAAATATATGGGAGACGCCGAGCGGGTAAGCGTGAGACCAGCAGGACGCGGCGGAAGCACAAACGCTGCTAATCCGAGCACCTATCTTTTTTTCGAGTCTCCTTTATTAATACGCTAGATCGCGCACGCACGCGCACGCAATCTCCGCGAAATTGCCGGAGAGTAAAGCGATGACAACAAGATAATTCTTTGTCACGCGCATCGTTTAATGATAATTATCTCGCGCAATTAACAACCCGATTTTCCGCCCGCGGATGATCGACTGCCCGGAAAGAGGCGCCTCGTTATAAATAATTGCAAAATGCCGGTCGCACGCGATTCTGTTACACACGCATGCACGCACACGCACAGACATATAACACACACACACACACACACATATATAACGACAGACACGTCGATAGCCAGGGAGGGAGCGAGCAAAATACCCAACGAGACGCAGTGCCTTGCGTGACGGGGAGTACTTTTTAACAAACACTTCCGTCTTTATCGTTTTTATCGTCTTATCCGTCTTCTGCCAGTCGGAAATACACAGCGTGTGCCGGCGATTAACCGTGTCTATCGTGCACGCCGGCTAGATCTGCGATCTGGCACAGTTCAAAGCCGTCGTGCCATTAAGCGCGCGATTAAACCGGAGCCATAATCATCGGCGATGCGGATTTGAGAATCTATCCTCGCCGGTCGGCGGCGCGACCGCAACAAATCGCATTCTCATCCGAAGACTCGGAGCCGGAGAGTCAGAACTCGGCTGTCCGGCTGCGATTTGTCAAATCTCCGGAATTAGAATAACGCTGGGTGAGGCTGGACTGACGATTTGATAAGTTGCCGTAGTCGCTACCCGAATAGAAAAATTAATAGAGCTCTAGTAAGGGCCTGATTATTTTTCTCTAACATTAATCGGGCCCTAGTAGGGATAGAAAGACAAGGGCCTTACAAAATATGTAACAAATGATTTAATGAGTCCTTATAAGGCAATATTATGAGGGCCTTATGAGGCAATATTAACAGGGTCTTATAAGGAAATATTAACAGGGGTTTTATGAGGCAATATTAAGAGGACCTCATAGAGTAATATTAAGATATTGAGTTAAAAATCCATTTTAAGTTTGAATGAGACACTCACTCTTGCAATTACGAGTCGAAATATTTTTATTATTGTTTGAGTAAAAATATTTGTTCTTTTTATTCCGTGAAATTTAGATTGTAGTTTTTTTTGTTTTTTTATATCCTTGTTAATATGCAACAAGAATTTTTTATTTTAAAAATATATAGCGTCCTTTATATATAAAGATCCTGCTATTGTTTTTATTAAAGTTTGCTGCATTTCAAAACGAAGACAATACTAGACAAATTTTTGGAAGAAATTAATAAATAGGGCAACTAATAAAACTAATAAAATTTGTTTTTAATTGTGGTATAATTAAAAAATTTTTAAAAGAACCAGATAGAGAGAAAGAGAGAGAGAAAGAGAGAGAGAGAGAGAGCGTATTTACTAAAACAGTACTAAACTATGACAATTTTATTATACGCTTCAGTTCTTATTAATTTTCTACAACAAAACTTAATTTTATATAAAGCGTCCTTAAAAGTCCTTAAAAAATCCTTGTAAGGCCCACATCAGTTTTCCATATTAAAACCTTATTTATTAGATCTCAGGCATCCCTAAAAAATCTTTCCAAGACTCTTCTCCGCTTCTCCCATCCAAAGGCTTTGTTTCGTAAAATCTAAGGTATCCCTAAAAGATCCATCTCGGGGCCTGATGTGATAATAATAAGACATCCTATTTTGAGCCTTATCGAGGCCCTATGCTTCATGAGGATAGCCCTAAGAATTTTATGTTCGGGTATGCGCGGCTGATAAACTGGTTGAGTGGAACGGCTGAAGCAAATCTCACCCCCGGCGAGATCCAAGCTCCGAGGAGGGATGCGAGACGCGTCGTTCGTCTGTTACGTGAATGGCGCCGCAAGCATCCTCGCGACGCTGTCAAAGGGCAGCTACCTTCCCGCCGTCGAGTTGGAAAGTGCAGATTGTCCTTGCGCGTTTCCGATCGCGGTGTCTGCGAACGCGGCGTGCGTCTCCGCAGAAGCGGAGAAACGGAGCGCTTAGCCGGCTAAGAAGCCGGGCGTTGCGGCGAGCGGACGCGCATCCATCCGTATCGCGAGAACGGTCTATTTGCACGCAACGCGAGGCATACCCGGGAATGGATTAGCCGTTGATAATCGATCATGCACGGGCATTGCTAATGTAACGAGTTTCGCCGGCCGGCAATTTCGAGCGCGCACTCGCTCGCCGCGATCGACCCCGGCTGAAAGCGTAAAGGCAAATTTCATCATGGAAACGCTGTTTTAATATTAAACCACCGTTCGACTCGCGCGAGTGCTGGAGCTCGGCGCTTTCGACGCGGCCCGCCGAGCCGAGCGCGATTGTTTTCGCGTCTTCTAATTGAGGTAATTAAAAGATCAGTCGCGTGCGGCCGTAATTGCCGCGCCAATTACGGCCGGAAAGCGCGCCGTTCGGCGCGCGCGCGCGTAGGCGTCAACGCGGAATTCGGAGTTTAACAGCCGGGCAAAATTAACACGCGCGTCGTTGATGATACTTTATTAGCAAACATAAACTATTATTACAATCCGCCTGCGTGTGACGAATTCGCGCGAGCCGCAAAGTGACCGTTAATCGCTCGCAATACACGGCGGCGGAAGAGCGCGTGCATTGTTTTCATTTTTCGAGATGCGTCAAAATATCCGCGCGATTATAACGCGCCCACACATGCGCACACGCGCCATCTTTTCGATCGCTTTAACAGTGTGACGTACTTTTAGCCGCGATGAACCGTTAATATTCCCGATAGCTGTGCGTTCGTGCTCGATTAAAAGGACGGAAAAGGCAGCAGCGAGCGAGTTCCGCTTGGATGAGTCGCGATGAGTATCAGCGGCGATATCGGAATTACTATTCCACGCCGGTTAAGTTAATAGTGATCCCCCTCGTCCTCCTGCCCTCCCTCTTTGCCGTCGTAGCTGTAAGAGCCGGATCTCTCGTAAGATCCGTCTTCGTCGCCTCCGGACGAATATTTCTCGCTGTGCCCGTAATTCGTGGACTCCGGCTCGTTCTCCATGTGGTGGCTGTAGTGTTCGCCGTCGTCGTCGCTCTCAGCGTAGTACTCGCCACCCTCGTCGGCGGCGTACTCGGCATCGGACGTGGTGCCTGTGAAGATTTTCGTATCATGTTAACTCTTTGCTGCGCAGTGGTCCTCCCAGAGTGCCATCTATCATCCAAGCTTGTTTTTCCAATAATTTAACTTTTTCACATGTTTCTTCAGCATATTCGGTATTGTTGAACTATACTATATATAAAATGTTCCTCCAACTAATACATCAACTTTTAGAGTCATTTCAAATGAATCATTTGTTATGAATAAGCACATACTGAACAAAACTGTCGTTTTTAGAGGATAAATTCGTTTACGTGAAATTTTAAGTAATAACGTATACTTCAAAATCATTATCTGGGGGGGGGGGTTTGGAATCGCTGAATACAAATTCGGAGTGAAGAATACAAAATTCAAAATGGCGAACCCAATATTGCGGATGGAATTTTCAAAATCCATCGAATTCGCTTGAAACTTGTTACTCGGGAATTTTTGAAGTCGCTGAATACGAATCCGATGTGAAAAATACGAATTTGTAGCAACCTCGAAACCCTTAAATAACAATTTCAAGCGAATTCGACTGATTTGGCAAATTTCGTCCGGCATTTTGAATGTCGTATTCTTCACATCAGATTTGTATTCAGCAACCCTAAAACTCCCCGAGTAACAAGTTTCACAAAATTATATTTATCAGAAGAAACGTGCAACAAAGGGTTAAACGCAATCGACGAGGAGAACAGTTCTCCGCCTTCCAAACCCGTCCGCCTTCAAATTCGCGAGCGAGTCGGTCAGCTTTAAGGACTCGCGGGAGTTCCCGCGATTCGAGCCGTCGGAAATATCGCGGGGATGATTTTTATCGCCGAATCGAAAAGAAGGGATCGACGACCCCGGCTTGCGTTTACTGGAGCTTGAACGTGCGAATATATTGTAGCAGTTAATTTGACGGTTTGATATATCATACCGTCATACCGTCATACCGTATATTATGTCCAAACGTGACGGAAACGGCCGGAAAAATGGAGCGATTTTGCCCGCTGATAAATGTTAAGGTTTCACGGAATTCGAGCGCGAGACAATCGACGCGAGCGGATAACCGTATCGTTTCGATCGCGCGCGATTAAAACTCTCCGCTCTCTTTCTCTCTTGCTACTTTCCGCTCTCGCGGACTACGCGATCGCGGCAACGCCCGTCGTCGTCGTTGATTATAGCCGAAACTGAACGGAGCTTTCACCTGCGCCCTCGTGGTCGCCTTTTTTCTCCTCTTTCTGCTTTTCCCTGTCATCGTCAGCCGTGCCGTAGGTAGTTTGCGTCTCAAACTCGTACTTGTCGCCGTCCTGTTTGTGGAAGGTGTCGAGAGTCTTGTAGCCTTGATCACCTTTGCCGTAGGTTTCCTTCAAGTAACCCTTCTCGCCCTCCGCATCGCTCCCGTAGGTTCTGTAGTAACCGCCCTCGTCTGATTTGCCTAAAACCGCATTGTTGTCCGCCCTTGTTACGCTCAACAAGACCCGCCCGACCCGTTCGCGGAGTACAACGCTCGACTATAAACGTTAATTCGACATCTGCCGCGAGACGGATTGAGGGAAGCGGTGAAACGGCCCGGACGTGAGCTTTCGTATCCGGCCGCGCGAGCTTCTCCCATTCCGATCGGCGAGAACACTAACGATGAGACACGTACCAGATGCGTTTTTCATGCGCTTTTTATCGTCCCGCGGCTCCGGCGCGTTACCGGCGCCCGTGAGGTCCTCCACTTCCGCGGCGAGCCTCGGCGGCGCCAGTTGGCGCACCTCGCGGATGTACGAGCCGACGGCGGCGACATCGTCCTCGACGGCGTCCTCGTAAGCGACAGGCCCGGCCAGGGTGTCGCGGACGAGCAGATACGAGAGCAGCGACAAGAGCAGAAATCCCGAATGCATCTCGCGTGATCAGACAGAGATCGATCCCGTCGTTTTCGGCGAGTTCCCTGCCTTCGTTATCCCCATGGCTGGATCTTTTATACAGCTCCCACTTTCCGCGGGCTGAACAATCCGCCCGACGGAGAAGGCGAGTGCTCGTGCACGAGCTCGTGCTGCTCGTGCTCGTACTCCGCCAGTCGTCACTGTGGCTAATCGCTCAAACGAGAGCGATCCAGCCGGCGACAGCTCGCATTTCGCAATTGACGATCTTCCGCGGCGGCGGTCCTCGCCGACGACCTGTCAGGTCGATCGGCCGTTGTTTTACCGTCTGCAATCGCACCGACGACGGCGACGCCGCCGTCGCGTGTTACTCAACCGGCCGCTTGCGTAAGGGCGACTTTTCGTCATCGAGGAAGTCGCGCGAGTACCCCGGGCTCGCTCGCGTCGACGCGCGACGCCGCGCCGCCGGCCGATCGGTCGCGCGTCGCGCGCCATCGCATCGATCGGCCGATCGCCGATATTAACTGTGCCGTGCGTACCGCACGAGTGATCTCGCGCGCTTTCCACGAGCGCCGGGGCGAAACAGCGTGGAACCGAAGATGGTCGGTATCGAAGCTGAGGCCTGACATAACGGGCTCCGGTGCGTTGCCCTCTCGAGGCATTACGACGCCGCGCTTGCGAGCCGGGCCCGCAAGTCGATGATCGATATCGATATCGCGGCTGATCCTTCGGACCTCACAGACTTGGACCCTTCGCCGCCCACTTGAACAAAAAATTGTTAGGGCCATCCTCATGAAGCGCAAGGCCCCGATGAAACTCAAGGAGTAGGATGCTCTAAAAAGGGATGCTTCATTATTACCACCGCAGATGGATCTTTTAGGGATACTTTAGATTTTACGAAATAAGGCTTTGACAGGAGAAGCTGAAAAGGGCCTTGGAAGGATGTTTTCGGGATGCCTTAGATTTAATAAATAGGGCTCTGACAGGGGAAGCTGAGAAGGGCTTTAGAAGGATCTGTTAAGAGGATGCTTCAGATATACAAGATCAAATTTTGTTATAGGAAATTAATAAGATCTAAAGCGTGTAATAAAATTGTCATAGTTTAGTATTTTTAGTAGGTTTTAGTAGGTACGTTCTACCTGGTTCTTTTAAAGATTTTTTAATTATATCGCAATTAAAAATAAGTGTTATTAGTTTTATTAGTTGCCGTATTCATTAGTCTCTTTCAAGGATTTTTCCAGTACTTAGTAGCCTTCGTTTTGAAATGCAGCAAACTTTATAATAATAAAAACAGTAACAAGATTTTTACGTGTAAAGAATGTTATATTTTATTGTAAAGTATGTCGTATTTTTAAAATAAAAAATTCTTGTTATATACTAACGAGGTTATAAAGAAATAAAGAAATTACAGTCTATAAATTTCTTGGAATGAAAAGAACCAATATTTTTACTCAAGCAATAATAAAAATATTTCCTTATAAGGCCCTATCAATATTGCCTTATAAAGACCCGTTAAACCATTTGTTATACATCTTTTAGGACCCTTGTCTTTCTATCTCTACCGGGTCCGATTAATGTTAGAGAAAAATAATCAGGCCCTTACCTAGAGGCCTATTAATTTTGCTACTCGGGCCGGATTTTTCGCCGGATTAATTGGACGCTTTTTCGATATCGCGTCGATATTTATGGATCGATTTGATATCTCATTTCGCACAGAAGTCGGCCGGTTATCGATGATCCAATCGGCATCCGGTTGGTATCATCTTCAGCGTGGATACATCAGTTCGACTCGAGTACGATACAGGCTGAAAAACGGCTAGATCGTCGACGTCTGCATACGATAACCTCTTGATGTCGCGATGTTAAGATGTTAAAAACATCCGATCGATCGTAGACTTCCACGTGAGTTGGAGTGGACACTTCATCGACTCGCGGAGCCGGCGAGCGCGCAGCGAGAGGCCGTGCCGAGTTGCCGGGGGATATTGCGGACGGTAGAGCGAATCTTGTTCCGAGCTTGCACCGAGCTTACGTTCGATTCCGCTGGCAAATGGGGAATTTTCAGCGGCTGAACTCGAGCGCGAACGAGAGAAGCGGCGTTTGGGATCTTTGGGGAAAAAAGACGACAGGACGGACACGGACGCGAGCGAGCGAGCGAGCGAGCGAGCTTGGATTCCCTTCGACATGCGGCGAAGGATTTAATCCGGCCGTATCCGAGGCGGAGGGCGCGACGGGAGGGCGCATTTGTAATTTAATTGGTTTCAACTTTGCGCGTGTGTGCCGCGCGCTCGCGCTCGCGCGTGTACGCGCGTTTTAATGCGTACCTTGTTTAACGTGACGATGCGAAATGCAACGCGCGCGAGCAATTAGTTTGGAATCGTTATCACCGCGCGACGTTTATACGCGTATATTAATAATTGTGTGCACGAGCTCCCGAGTAATAATAATTATTAGTTGATCGCGTCGACAGCGCGGTTTACATGGACGCAACAAAGGAGCGTTTGCGCGTCCGCGAGCGAGATATTTTTTATGGTGATATTTTCCAGCGACGGATCCATCCGAAGGATGTATGATTTCGGCGGCCGCGGCCGCCCCCCGGAAATCTTTTTCATCGCTCTGAGCTATGAAGTGCGTCTTCGCGAATGTGCCGCGTGCAAGCAGCTCGGAGAAGTTTGCAAACACGTGAACGAGGCGCTTTTGCCCGCGCGACACGTTACTTCACGATCTTCGCAATGTTCCGCTTTAATGACTGTTGCACAGAAATGATCTGTCGTAAGAAGGATCGCGTTTTTACGGGGGACAACGCGCGACAGAAAAATGTAGCGCCGCGCGCGTTACATCAGTCTGAAACGTCGTTTTTAGACGTAATAATCTGTCGCAACGCGCGCTGCGTCCCATGGACCGTTCCGCCGTCCCGACAAAAAGGAGCAAAGAAACGGCATCTTCGCGTCACTTCGTCCGTCCGCGAAAACTTTGTCCGCGCGCGCGCGCGCGCGCGCTAAATCTCGCAATAATTGTGCAACAATTGATCTCGTGAGAGCTGAAGAGCTGCGTGCTTGCTCGCGGTCGTTTGCAAGCGGAGCATCGTTTTCCGCGTGTATTTCTCTGTCTGTAAAAACGACAACTCGAGTAGAAAAATTAATAATTGAATTAAATTAAATTGGTAAGGGCATGATTATCTTTCCGTAACATTAATCGGGCCCTAGTAGGGATAGAAAGACAAGGGCCTTACAAGATGTGTGACGAACGATTTAACGAGTCCTTATAAAGCAATATTATGAGGATCTTACAAGGCAACATTAATAGGGCCTTATAGGGAAATATTATTATTGCTTGAGTAAAAATATTCGTTCTTTTCATTCCAAGAAATTTAGATTGTAATTTTTTGATTTTTCTATAATTTTGTTAATATACAGTAAGAATTTTTATCTTAAAAATAATAAAAGTTATAAATAAAATATTAATAAAAATTGTAGCATACTTTACAATAAAATATAATATTCTTTATATATAAAAATCCTGCTACTGTTTTTGTTGAAGTTTGCTACATTTCAAAACGAAAGCAATACTGGAGAAATCCTTGGAAGAGATTAATGAATGTGGCACTTAATCTTTAAAAGAACCAGATAGAATACCTACTAAAACAATAATAAATTATGACAATTTTATTACACGTTTCAAATCTTATTACTTTTCTATAACAAAATTTGATTTGGTACATCTAAAGCATCCTCTCTCTCTCTCTCTCTCTCTCTCTCTCTCTCTTAAAAAATCCTCCTAAGGCCCATATCAGTTTTCCGTGTTAAAGCGTTACTTTGTAAAATCTAAGGTATATCCCTAAAAAAATCCTTCTAAGACCCTTCTCCTTTTCCTATCAAAGCCTTATTTCGCAAAATCTAAGGCATCCCTAAAAGATCCATCTTAGGACCTGATGTGGCAATAATAAGAAGGCATCCTACTTTTAACCTTCGATGAGGATGAACCTAACAATTTTTTATTCAGGTAAGATTTATCTCACATTTGACCGTGCCCGCAAATTAAAAGCTCAGCCGTCGCAGCGAGAACAAACCGTACGTTTGAAATCGAACGATCAAACCGTTTTTGAAAACTCTGAATATTTCCGATAAAGACAGATTAATCGCAGTAACGGTAATAATAGCAGTGATATCGATTAACAGAAGCTAAAATTTCGCCGCGAATTACGCGATACGTATTTCCAGCTCCGGCCGATCCGCGTGAGCGAAAAGGAACTTTTTTCACGAGCTGAGTAACCGATCATTAATGCGCTGTCGGGCGCAAGGAGCCACTAAATCTCGAACTCCCCGGAGCGGCGAGGACGGCCAAGGATGATCGTCGTTTAAAAGGACGCGCGCGACCCGGCGGCGTCGACGACGTTAAGCGTCTTAGATAGTTGCCGCGCCAGGCAGCTTCTCCCTGGGCATGATCCGGCAATTTGAAAATCTCGGATGGAATGTAACACCTCGTAGTAGCTGCCGTCTTGGATGTACCGTTGGAGATTCTCGTTTTACCAAACCCCTGTTGCTACCGCTGTGCCAGGGTCGGCCAATGCGCGCTCCTCAGCCGCAAGCCTGCCGGGCAAAGTAAAGCCGTGCCGGAGCGCTCTACGAGCGCCAGGACGAAAGGTGGCTGCGAGGAGGAGCCGGAGGCAGGGGTGCATCGCGCGTCAGGGGTTGCATCCTGATTAGGGTAAAAGTAGGAGGTCTCGGTAATCTCGTTGGTATGCAAGACCCGGCGATTCTGCAATCTACTCAGTATCCTCTTTATATAAATATGTCGTATTATGCATGAGTGAGTGCGAGGCCCGGCGGGCCCGGCGAGTCTGTAAAATTCAACTGCCGACATTACACTGCTGAGCAAGTGTTAAATAATGAACGACTCCGCGCCCCGTAGTTATCGTTGCGCGAGTTGTGTCCGTGTGTTCTCGGCAGAAGAGACGCTTTTAAAAACGTCGGAATGCGCGAAACGATACGAAACGCAAATTATACGTCCAACGAGTAATCCATCTCGCGTTTTAATAGACATCTTCATAATACGTACGCGGCGCATTCTGCGAAGGTGTCAAGCA